TTGTATGATTTTAGCTGAAAAGGAAGTTTCGAGTGAAAATGGCATTGCATTGTTTTCTGTAGTTAAGTTGAAAGCTTTGGGCTGGCAAACAAGATTACGAATCTCTGATTAGGCCATTAGGGACCAATGCAAGATTATGCTGAAGTACATAGTTGAAACATAGATTTGAATGGCTAGTTATATTGTTTGGCATCTTTATCACAGTTTACCACCTGTATTTGAGGCCCGTTATTTAACGGCTAATTCTTTTATCCAAGAAATTGTGTTACAGTTTAAATGACTATGCATTGTGGGTATTGCGTTAATTCACGTGAAAATAGAGAGAAGCTGTAATTTGATTAGATATTCATACTTACTGAAGTTTCCATTTTTTATGGGTTTGATGTTTTTTGCTAATATACAGTGAAGGCATTAAATGAAATTAAGGCGTCACTTGGATGGAGAGTAGTGTACGCTTGGGTTGGAGATGATCCTTGTGGAGATGGTGATTTGCCTCCTTGGTCAGGTGTCACGTGTTCCACTGTGAGTGGGAGTGATTATAGAGTTGTTACAGAACTGTGAGTTCCATGACTTTCAGCCTCTTTTAGGCTTTCGTTTCATTAAATGCTCAGTGGATTATCAGACTACCTTTTTTGTTTATTCTGTTTAGTTATTTATTTTGCAATTACCTTGCAGAGAAGTATATGCAGTTTCGATTGTTGGTCCTTTTCCGCTTGCAGTTACTAATCTGGTGGACCTTACGAGGCTGTATGTTTTTCTTTATCTTATTTTAGTGTTATCAAGCAAGTTCTTTGTATTTTATCTGGAACATAAACTGTTGTCTTGCTATCATTCTCTCATTTTGCATTTCCAAAATCTTTGATGCTATTGGTTTTTGCAGGGACCTACATAATAACAAATTGACTGGACCAATTCCGTCGCAAATCGGACGACTAAAGCATCTCAAGATACTGTAAAGTCCTGTCCTTTCTTTTTCCAATGAGCAACATTTGTCTATGATTACTCTAGCTAAATGTGTAAGGTTTGTTCGATGCATTTTTGCCCTGTCCTTCGGTCAAGGATTGATCATATACCTAGTTGGGTTAAATTAGTCTCAGGAATCTCATGGAAGCATATGCAAGCTACAAACGAAAACATATTATTTGTCTGGTTATCTCCAGCACTATAGGGATTCTCTTAGTTTGATTTTTCCGTAACAAACTATTTATGTTGGGGGTATAGCAATATAGTGGTGTATGCAATTATTTGATTGATCGGTCTTCTTCTCGTAATTGAATGCATATTTGTCTTGAGGAGCATTGCTCGCATTTGTTTTTGGCTTGTCTGTAAGATTCTTATTCTTTTTTGGAACCACTTACTTCACCGACTTCCATTTAAATTTGAAATCATTATATTTCATTTTGTATTTCAAGATTTTCTTTGTATCTCAATCTTGTCTCTCTCCAGTCTCCATAGAGCCTGTTACTGATACCTTTTTCCTTTTGTTGTTTTATCAGTAATTTGAGGTGGAACAAATTCCAAGATTCCATTCCTCCTGAAATTGGTGAACTAAAGCAGCTAACGCATCTGTGGGTGATACTAAGGATTTCAGATACTCTGGATCTGTCACTGTCTCAGTTTCTTTTATTTCATTGACATTTTGATGCAATTCTGCAGCTACCTGAGTTTTAATAATTTCAAGGGTGAAATTCCCAAGGAGCTTGCATATCTTCCTGAACTTCGTTATCTTCAACTACATGAAAATCGTTTGACTGGGAGAATTCCACCTGAACTGGGAATGTTGACTAATCTACGACACTTGTAAGATTATTTTATAATGGGTTATCTGTGTTTTTTTAATGGTTATCTTAACCGAATTTTTTTACAGGGATGTTGGCAACAATCACTTGGTTGGGACCATAAGGGAACTAATTCGTATTGAAGGATGCTTCCCAGCTCTTCGTAATTTGTATGATTTTCTAATTCCGGCAATCTTCGGTTTTGTTATTTGATTGCTATTGCTAATTTCATTAATAAGACAGTAATTGAGGGTCTTAAATGTTACAATATTGCAGGTATCTTAATAACAACTACCTCACTGGAGGCGTTCCATCACAGCTTGCCAATTTAACAAACTTGGAAATCTTGTGAGTATATGTATTTAAAAAGTAGATAAATGGTTGTTTTTGAGACTTGATATTCCAATCCCTTTTTAATTCGCTAAATTTGCAAGTTGCTTGTGTTGGTTTCAGATATCTTTCTTATAACAAAATGTCTGGAGTTATACCATTTGGGCTGGCTCATATTCCTCGATTGACCTACTTGTAAGTATGCATAATTCATATTGTACATATATTAACATTTTCTATTGATATCTTTATATGGCTCTATTTAATAGCTGGGCGGCATTAAGATACCCATGAAATATCCCTGCATTCTAACTTGTCTATCTTTAGAAATCAAGTGCCCAATATCTAGTGACCTACACGCATTTATTATGAGAAGCCCGGCAATGGTAAATATTGTAAAAAACGGCTGCATCAGGAAACTTTTTCTTGTTTACCCACCTGCATATTCTTATTCAACACACATTAGAGAAAATTGAATCACATTAACACAGGATCACTAGTTTGTTGTGTTATCGACAATTGGACTCTGGCTCAAGTGTTCGAATCAATAACAGAGTTCTTTGGTATGTGATTCTACTAATTTATTTGCTTGTTTTCTTTTCTCTCATTCAGGTACTTGGATCACAACCAATTTTCTGGGAGAATTCCTGATACCTTCTACAAGCACCCATTTTTAAAGGAAATGTAAGTTTCACTTTGAATTTTTGTTTTGCCATTTGTTCTCTCTCTCTCTCTCTCTCTCTCTCTCTCTCTCTCTCTCTCTCTCTCTCTCTCTGAGCTGAAGGAAATTTACGATTTATTGATCGGGCACAGGTACATTGAAGGAAATTCGTTCAGGCCAGGCGTGAAACCTATTGGTGACCACAAAGTCCTGGAACTTGCTGATTCAGAGTTCCTGTTTTAGCAAATGAATTATGATTCATCTCAAGTTTTGACCAGAATTGATTTACGTTATCATCTGAATTCTCGCTCGTATGAACTCATCCAAATCGATTTTAAAAAAAAATTGATGTGACAAGATTCATGTAATGTAGCTCCCAACAAGAACATCGTTGAAGTTTTATTAAGCTTCTATGTTTGGCTGAACTGTAAATAGATAGGCATCATTTTGCAGTATTACCTTATAGTTATTGGCTGCCTGTATTATTATATCATACTCATTGTTCATCAATGATGCTAAAACTGATGGTTGTTCCTTGAAGTTAATTTTTCTTCGATTTCTGGTATACTCGAGACATATTTTATTGCCTTAGCCAGCTTACATTTCTGTTGATCTTCAGTTCTTCCAGCATTATAATGTTCAGAGTTTTCTCCAAGCAATACAATGTTGAGAGTTTTCAGTTGTTTTCATGAGCAAGCTCCAAATATTTATGTGGAGAACTTAAATTTAAGGGTAGATGGAGAATATATTTTTATAGATTGCTACTATTTCCTATGTGACATGTAAATTTGTTTTATGAATTCAAATTATTGTGGATCCTCTAAAAGTAGCTCTCGTTTATTATTCCAAAAGGATATGATTTACCACTTCTTTATAATTAGTTAGTAAATGTTTTTCTTATTTTTCAACTTTTTTGATATCTTTTATTTATTTTTATTAATAAATGGATAATTTTTAAAATTTTAAAAATTACTGTACAAATTTCTCACGTTATCTTAATTGATTATTTAATCTTGCCTCATAAAAGGTAAAAATGAAAAACATTAATTCACATTTATCTACGAGCCATAAAGTTAGTTTTATCTTCAACAACCTCGCCTGTTTTGAACTCGGGCTCAAATCCTACATTTCATAACTCAACCTAACAATTAAAAGTTAGTTCTTTTCTCTGTGTCTACACAACCAACTTTACCACCCAACTTATCTTTGTACTCAACTCAACCTAAAATATTATTTTATTTTTTATTATTCATTTATTAAGTATCATCTACAACTGATTTGTGTTATTGTTTTAATTGTGACGAATTAATTAAATAATTATAATGAAAGTCGTAATGATTTAAAAAATTATTTTTTACCATATAATTAAAAAAAATTACGAACACAACTACCATTTGAAATTGCAAAGTTTTGAACAAAATATTAAAATTTATATCTATATTTATATAATAAGAATAACCACTTACTAGAAATAGTAATAAATAAATCCGCCATAATTAATTGCATGTCACTTTGGGAAATTATTTGAATTTTTTTTTTTTTTTTTACCATAAAACCAGGCAACATTGAATTCTCCTTAAATGGTGAGTTTGTTAAATTTAGGTTTGTTCATTCCATTTTATCTTACCTTCCCTATAATCATATTCTAATAAACATTAAATTGTCTTATACAATTTTAAAATAATTACATCAATAAATAATATTAATATAAATATTTACCATTATATAAAAAATAAAATTACTTCTATAAGTGTTATAAATAATAATGACATTATAAGACAATAATTTTTTGAATAAAATAATATTCGAGTATTATAATGAATCAAAATATGTAAAATTATTATTTTGGCATTGAAAAATAGATATATTTGTTAAAATATTATTTATATTAACATAAAGCATACTTTCTTAACAAAAAAAAAAATGCATATTACACTATCAATGACCTCAAATTAGATTAGATATTGGTAGCTTCAAAGTTGTTTTATATGAAATAGTTCATATCTCAACTTATTTTACAAAATGTTCTGTCATTTAACAAACTACTTTCATCAGTCCTAAGAACTTTTATCATTTCATATAATCCAATCAGTTGAACGAGATTTTTCAATAAAAGTCCTAACATCTGATCAGTTCTAAGAAAATTAACTCAAGAAACTTCTTCAAGAGTTGTACCCTGAGCCCGATACACGGCCGAAGGTGTTGGGTCCTTCTGGTTTTTACGAAGAGCAATGGTTCAAGACGAACTTCAAACCTCAGGACCAAATGTTGTTGATGGCTTGACCGACCACATCTACAACCTCGGTCCAGGTTCATATGCGTTTTTATTACAATTTGCGCTAGTTTGACTCTCTATTACATTTTAACTCATATGGATAATTTGCTCAGCAACATTTATAGTTTTCTGAACTATCTTGCTGGATTTTCGATGGATTTTGTGCAAATTTTGTACTCTCCCGACTCAATTTTAACAGCATTGTCTCATGTCTTAGGTGTTGATCCAACTTTAATCAACAAGATTCAAGATCCACTTTTTCTAGACCAAGTAGCTGAAACGTACAAGGACATCTCAACCACGGTTAGGCTGTTTGGACCGTGGTCAGGTGCATGGGTTGGGGAGTTTGGTGGGACCTACACAACAGTGGCGCCAACGATGTCTCCGACACCTTTGCTAATGGATTCTGGTCTGGGCGTTCGCACGGAAAAAAAAGAACAGAAATGCATTTTATATTATTTATTTTTATCGAAGTAGGTACTTGGATCAACTGGGCATGGCATCAACGTTCAATCACAAGGTTTTCTGCAGACAAGCTTTAATCGGAGGAAATTATGCTCTGCTAAACACTACGTCATTCATTCCTAATCCTGATTATTACAGGTCATTATGAAGTAAATATTAATCACACACTCTTCGTAAGCCTT